GTCATTGTTTCATCTGTGTAACAGGGGGTGGCACTTGCATAGTGGGTGGGATAGCAGGTGTGGCATGAATGATTGGGTAGGGCCACTTACTCTCAACTGATAGGGAAGAAAAAAAAGAGAGTGGGAAGAGGAAGAAAAAAGAAAAATGAAAAGAAGCAAAAATAAACAAATAAATAAATAAAAGCCCAAGAGGGAAGAAGAGGGAAGAGGGAGCAACTATGGAAAAAGAAATAACCACCACGACCAGCACAGTACTGGTGCAAGTGCTAGCCACGAAACATTGCTGCAGTGGAAATGTAGCACTTGCTCCATGCAATGTGTGCTGCTAACTGCAGATAGGCAAGGGCATGTGCTGTTGGCTGTGGAGAAAGTAGGTGTGGGGCATCCACTCTGTAGGATAAAACAAAAACAAAAAAACAAGGGGGTTAAGGAGAAAAAAAAAGTCAAGGATACTGTGAAGAGGGAAGGATTAAGAGAAAAGATTAAAAGGGAAAAAAGAACAACAACAATAACAAAAAGCCTCCAAAAAAGTGGGACAGTACAAGCTGCCAAACATGGCACTACCTACAAAATAGTGCACCTTGTTGACCACAGAGGTGCAGAGGTGGGCTCTGCTGACTTAGGAGGCAGCAGCAGTGGTATACCTACTCTGCAGGATTGAAAAGGATGAGAGAAGGGGAAGAAAAATACAAAAAGAAAAAGTAGGAGGGATGAGGGAAGAAATAAGAAGAAAGAAAAGGAAGGAAAGAAGGAAGGGAGAGGGGGATGAATGAAGAAGGAAGGAAGCTACCAGTGGTGGGAAGCTTTTACTGGTAGCGGGTTCAGGAGAGTAGGGGTAGTACCATACCTCTAGTCACTGGGTGGTTGTGTGGGGTGGGGAAGATATCACACGTCTCTGATCGCTGACCCCCAGTTTGGATGCTGGAGCAGTCCTGGACCAATAGAGGAGGCTATCTAGTTCCTGCTCTGATTGGAATGCTGCTTGCAATAATTTTAAATTGTCATGCAATACTAAGCTCATTAGCAATATACTGCTCCATATGCCTCCTTGTTCACTGTTTTCATTCAGTTTCTTCTTCTAATCAGTATTTGATCTACTTTTTTTATCCTTTCCTTTGAAGCTCTGGGTTCTAGGATTGTCATCTGTATCCATTTCACTTAGTTTCTCAGGTCTTTGTTGTAAAGGTTCTGGATAATATATCTGTCTAGTCCATCTTGGCCACCATATAATCTCTTCTACTTTTAAATGAGCAAGTAGTTTATGACATCACAGGTGATGTCAGTCAAATGTGAAGTTTCCTTTGAGAAAGAGATAGGACTTTACTGTGACATTTTAGGCTATCTTATTTTTTTCTCCAAGACACATAGATTTTATTGCAATTCTACCTGGACCTCCAAAATTGGAGCCATCCCTAGTATCAAAGATTCTGGTCTCTCTGTAGACATTTCACTAAGCTTCTATGTACAATAACATCCTGCTGGTTGCCTTTAGGTGTTCATTTTTATAATGGATGAAGACAAATATACAAACCACTGCCATGTCAGTAGTCCTGATTCCTTAATGTTTTTATGTCTCCAGAGAGTAAGAATATATCTCTGTCAGTACAAATATACATCACAAAATGTGATTTCATCCCCCTTCCACCTAAGGGTTATACTTATGAAAGTACAAATAAAGTGATGAGTTGTTTCTCACTGATTTATAAAAGAGAACTAAAATGAAAGTAGTGTTCTGCTTAGTAGAAAGATCTAAGCCTAAATACTTGTGTACCTTTTGTAAATTTATTTCCATTCTCTTCCTCTTGCTCCTCCTCCTCTCTCTTCCTTGTTCTCCTGTTCCCTCTTATTTACCATTTTTTTTTTTGGGAATTTTACATAAGTCCTGGTCTAAAGAACTGGGTCCTGAATGTCTAAAGAAATATAAGACAAGAAAGCAGACCTCACATTAGGCACCTTATAATCATCTAGGTATGTTTTGAAAAAATAAATTCTCTGAAAACTCACACAAGACCAATTTAATCAGATTTAGTGGAGTGAGATTTGGGTATGAGTATATGGTATTTTTAAAAATCCTTCTCAGATGATTCTAATAGGTAGCCAGATTTAAGTAATATCAAACTCATCTCTAGGGGAAATGTCTTC